TCCTTCCCAGCTTCACCCCTCCCTCCCTCCCTCCCTCCCTCCCTCCCTCCTTGCTCCTGCTGTGCTCTGCTCATGAAGCTCGGGAAAGACGTAATGAGTTGGGCTGCAAGCATTACCAGGGCCTGGGTTACCCACCACTGGGGAGCCAGTGCAGACACAAAGGCAGGCAAAGGTCATGTTCAAGTGCAAAAGGTGTGGCGTGACCCTGCTGGATGTTCACAAAACACAGACATTTCCTTCTCACAGGATAACGCAAGAGTTTTCATTATATAGGCTGGTCCCATAGCTGCTGGTGACAGGAGCCCATGAGTCATTTCCTGCAAGCAGGTTTTTATGGCAATGATGTACAAATGCCTTCTGGTCTGAACTGGTTACCTGTGATTACTGAGCCGCCCCCTGGACGGTGGGAGAAAGAACCCTGGATTGAGAATCGGGGGCTCATCCTCAATGACCCTCCAGGTCCTCTGTTTGACCGAGGGATCCTCTCTTCACAGTCTGGCCCCAGGAGGCCTTTCTGGTCTCCTGCCATTCATCCATTCTGTTCTCTCTGGTTCTCACACTCTCCCTGCTTCCCTCTCTCCACAGGTACCTTCATTCCCATTCCATGAGTAACGTACTCTTACCATAATATGTTTCTCTGCCTTATGTTCCCTCTAGCTGTTCCTTCAGTAAAGCAAGGCAAACTCCTACTCGTCTGTCAAGCCCCAAATCATACCTCCTCTTGCAGGAAGCATTCCCAGACTACCCCAGTCGCTCTTCTGTACTCCTGCAGAACAGTATATACAACTCTCTCATAGCACTTAGGATATTAATGATAATAATGGCTAAACATTTACTGATCACTTATTATGTACTAGGCAGCATTCTAAACACTTTACAAAGATTACCTTATTTAATCCTCACAGTAACTCCATGAAGAAAGTACCATTATTATCCTCATTTTACAGAGATGTCTACTGAGGATCAGGGATTTCGGTAACTTGCCTAAGGCCGCAGAGCTATTAAGTGGCTGTCTTGTGCCTAGACAAGTGCCTGGCACATAGTAGCTGCTCAATAATCATTCACCCCATAAATGATTAACTGAATAAATACAGAAATGATGACACTTCTGTCCTCTCTATAGAAAGCTCAAGTGAGAACCACTTCTTATTAATCTTTCAAACCATTTCCTCTGTCAAATACCTACTAAGGTATTAGGGTATTTGAAATACCTAATGAATGAATGAATGAAACACTGTATGAGGAAACCAATAAACAGAATCCGAATCTTGGCAATGCTTCCCGCTAGCTTCAACCAAATAGCTTCAGGTTCCTGGGCCCCCTGGTTGTAACCATCTGTCAAATGCAGAGATTGTACACAACATTCTTTCAAGTTTCTCCTAGCATTAAAGGTACATATAAAATAAACGAGCAGTCTCCATGACTTTGTGATGATGGTAATTCCCAGGCCAAATTATGTATTGCATTTTCTTCAGGGCTGTTTTCCCCAGGAACATTACACAATTGGATGTGGCATTTGATCCGGGTACTACCCTAATTCAGAGCCAATATCAGTCCTGAAAGAGTTTCTTTGGCTTGCTCGTTGGTTCACTCCTTTCTTATGCAAACAGATCACACCCAGGGAAAGAATTATTAAGTGCCTGGCAAAACCCTCATACATAATAATCAATAATGAACACTGATCTCAAGTTAGATTATGCAGCTGGCACCTAGACCACTGCTCTAGGGACCTTGTAGGTCCTCCTCCCTGTCCCCTGGCACCTGTACCAGAGGTCATCTTCTCCAAATAGATCCCGGTCACCAATCTCCTGCTGCTATCACCACTAACACACACACACACACACACACACACACACACACACACGGTCCTGCTGGCACGAGGGAGCAGACAGGGCTCATAGCGCCTGGAAGGGGCTGATTAATGTTTGTGAATAGCTGAGGCCTAGATCCACTCCAGATGGTGCCGAGAGGCATCCACATCAGGGCGAAGGTGGGAGTTCTGGCTGCATTTCATTCATTCCCATTCTACCTGTGGCGAAGCAGGAGCTTGGCTATAGGCCTGGTACCTGACACGCCTTTGCTACACGGCTTAGCGTTAATGATGAACCACGTGCACAGTAATGCCCAGCACTTCTCGTTTGGCTAATGCTTGACGACGTAAACTAGTACACCAAAGGATAAACCTAAGTGAGGTGTGTGAGCAAGACAGTGTCTGTTCATGTCGGAAAAGAGGGAGGACCGCGTTCTGCTTTGCTTGACTCACAACCAGGAGCGCCAGGCTCTTAGAGTGAGCACTACACAGCCACGTGACTCCAACGTGGCGAGGCCTGTTCCATAACCAGAAAGCAAACAAGCAGTCACCTGTCAGGTAGAGGACACCTGCTGCTTGTCTATCTCCCACCTCCACATCCCTGGGGACCTGTTCCTCCCTCATGTCAATCACGTGATGTTTAAAGGGCTGCCAGAGACAGCGGGCAGCTCCTCTGGCCTTGGCCACAATAACTGGCCCAGGGGTGAGCCAGCGGAAATTCTTCCCTGAGATTTTTTTCCATACCGAGCAGGAAGAGAAAGATTCTGGTCTTTTGGGTCACAGAGCTACAAAGATATGAACGAGAGGCTAGCATCATGAAGAAAATCTGTTTGCAGGAGGGAAGAATGAAGCCAAAACAGAGCAAAACATCTAAGAGAGATGGAAGGAGAGAGGATGGGAAAGACTGTGAGTGTCTGGACCTTCCTGTTTATACGAGTTAATCACTTCCCTCATTTCCCTGTTTTGCTTAGGTTAGTTTGAGTTTCTGAAACATGAGGATAAAGTAGCCTAGCACAGTCATAACCATCCGTAGAGTGCATTTTCAAATGTATCTTCTACACTTTAGGATCCAAGTAGTTTTTATGGGATGGGTTACCACATTTCAAATGTCTTTGTTCCTCCTCCTGAGAAAGGCGTATAAATTCCTGGGCAAGAACCACTCTTACCCAGCATCACTAACTAAAAACAATCCTTTTCCTTTATATCTTAGGCATCAACGATGACCTGCCATCCACAGGATGTAAGGACTCTTCCACTTCAAGCCATCATAGCTTATAAAATAGGGGCTGGCCAGACAGACCAGGCAACCGGCTAGTGATTTTTGAAAGGACATCTTCATGGTGGTCAACTCTCCATTCCATCCCTCCGCTGGCCGACTCCCTCCGAAGGTCTGTCTTCAGATCACCAAGAGAGTCCCTCAGCAGCTAGAAACTGTTGGGTGTATGGGGCAATGCATTTTCTGATACAATGAGAGCTCTGAAAATATTCCTTGAGAAAACATGTTGCACCCCAGCCGCCTGACTTCTATGGGTCATTTTAAAAGAAAACCACCATATACAATTACAGAAAAGGGTGAAGCTTTGAAAGTTAAAAGCTTCCCCCTCCTGGAACTCTGAAGAGCTGCCCAGTGAACCATGAACCGTGAAGTTACAACAACTAGGAAAGGAGGTACTGGGCAGGGGTGGCACTTAGGATACTGGCCCCACCTCCCACCCCCCTTTATTCTTTAACGCTTCCCTCTCCTCTGTGTAAGGTCGAAGCTTGGCAGGTTACAGGCAGGCCCTTCCTGGATGGCTAATATGCTCTGGGCTAAGGCGACTGGGCTGCTTCAGCCTGATGGAATGCTTGCCTGTGCTCCAAACGGTCTGTGCGTCCCAGGCTCAGAGGAGCCTGGCAGCTGTCTCCCCCGGGGCAAGGGAAAGCGGCGTATCCCACGGTGGACTCAACGGCTCCAAATCACCAAAACAAAAACACAACAGTCCTGATCTCTATGGAGAGTTCAATCTTCTTGTCTAGGATTGGCACTGACTAGAATTCCAAGGGCTCTGGCTGAGCTACCTCCTGTGAGGTCTAAATACAGCTCGCTCGTTGCTTTTAACCTAAACATGCAGCCTGGAACAGTGCCCAGGGCTGACAGCCCCCAGGGAAGTCTTGACTTCTGGCTGCCCATTTGGGGATGGGTGGTGCAGAGCTATCAGAGATGTGATGCGCTGGGCAGCCCCACGTTCACTGATGTCACCTACGGCCACTCAGTGGGGAAAGTGACCAGCTTGTGGAGGGTTAGCTGTGAGTGGGATCCTGAGCAGAGGAAGAGGATGGGGAGGTGGAGAATGCAGAGATGTGAAGAGGAAGAGAGAGAGAGGGAAGAAAAGACAGTAAAGACCAAAGACCTATTTCTTTTTTTTTTTTTTTTTGCACGGTACGCGGCCCTCTCACTGTTGTGGCCTCTCCCGTTGCGGAGCACAGGCTCCGGATGCGCAGGCTCAGTGGCCATGGCTCACGGGCCCAGCCGCTCCGCGGCATGTGGGATCTTCCTGGACCGGGGCACGAAGCCGCGTCCCCCGCATCGGCAGGCGGACGCTCAACGACTGCGCCACCAGGGAAGCCCCAAAGATCTATTTCTTACCCAACTAAAGTCAGGGAGCTTTCTAAAATGTTTGCTCCCAGGGCGACACAACTCTAATTATGCCTCTCTAGGGAATTTAGGGCCTAAGCCCTAGAATCAGAGGGATCGAGGTTGCCTTCTTATTACGTAACTTTGGGCAAGGTAACTGTCTTCTCAGATTTCATATCTCTTAAACTATCCAAAGGACTACTGTGCTGTTCAACAAGACCACGTACAGAATGCACCTGGCCCAAAGAAGCTACCTGGTAAACAGTAGCTACTAGAAGAAGTAGTGGTAGTAGTAATAGTAGAAACAGGATAACATCAAGCATGCCTTCATCTTCTCCGCCTTGGGAAGGACACAAGAAGAGCTGCTGAGGCCACCATGATAAGACAGAAGCCCCCGACCAGGATAAGCTGTTCATATACAGACAAAGGCAACCTTCAGCTGAGCCAAACAATAAAACACATCCACACCCACTAAGAACCTTACAATGGCAAAATGGCAACAGTTTCCTAACCTCCCAACAAGCCAACCCACATGGCCCACAGGGTGAGAAGCATTCACGCTGGAGTTTCCCTTACCTTGGTGTTCATACAAGACTTCCCTCGCTTGTACTCTTTGTGGGACCCACGCTTGTCCAGTTTGTACCACAGGGCCTTGGCCTTCCAGGTGGTCACCTTGGACTTGAGCTTGGAATAAAAGTTTCTGTGGTCCAGAGGGTCTAGATCCAGGTGCCGTGTGAGGATGTTGAAGGCCTGGAGGGTGCCTTTGCACGTGGAAGCCTGGACAAAGTTCTCGAAAACCTGCCCGGCCTGGGCCTGCTTCTCGTCCTCGTTTTCCCCCATGTTTCAGGAGCCACGAGAGCAGTGGTGTGGAGAGGATGGAGGAGAACACCATGAAGTACCTGGAGAAACGTCACACCTGCAAAGGTAGGCAGAGGCAGAGGTGAGCTTCCTGGATGAGGGTAGAGTGGGGAGAAGGTGCGGAGAGGTAAAAAGACAATTCCTTTAAGACACTAACATACTAAACATAACACTTAATACTAAACATACATAATGCATAGGACCGGTATAATCATGCCTTCTAACCTGGCAATGCTGTCTTGCTGGCAATCTCTCTCCCCAACACTCCACTCCCCTGGCTGGCTGAAAAGAACTACACATTGCCAAAGATCTATCCTGGCTGACGTCAATATTACCTGGTCAATCTTGCTATGAGCAGTGGTTCTGGAAGTACTAACTAGCAAAAGGAAAACAAACAAAACCCAGAAGGGCACACCAGATTTAGCACTGTTGGAAACCTATAATTCCTGGTGCCATAAATTGGCTGACTAATGTTAACGTAACCCAATCACATGACATGAGTGCACAGCCCCCAAAAAGCAAAGCACATGCCTCTCTAGATTTCATGACCACCATCCCACCTATCCTTAGACACCACACTTTTAAGTCTTCCTTCGTTAGTTACCAGAAGGCGGGTCTTTCCCTTCTACAGACGGCAAATGGCAACTTCTCAAAATTCCTCTCCATTCCTAGTATCTGCTAGAAGCACAGCATCCACCTCAGTCAGACATACAGAAAGAGAGAGAGAAACGTGGGTCTCCTCCTGATGCACAAAAGGAGCCTGTGCTTTGTAAGCCCAAGCTGGGAGCTATTTGGAACAAGTGCTTAATCTGAAGGAAGGAAAAACCGCGATGGAGGTTCATTCACATCACAAAAATAGCTTGCCTGGGTTTTGGCCATCGTCCTTTCTTCTCTGCACCACTCTAACCTCAGGCATTTTCTTAGGAAAGTCATTTAAGTTTCAAAGGAACAAAAATAAATTAGAGCTGATTTTCCAAAGCACCAGCTATTTTTCCAGAATCTAAAGCTAGTGCAAGAAGATAAGTGTGAAGGAGCTGGGGCTGGCCCAGCTGCCAGGAGGGCTTGAGGGGGTCTGTAAACGCATATCAAGCTCCCCCCGACAGAGGCCTGGCAGGGGGAGGTCAGCAAACAGAGACAAAGCCCTCGGGCTGGGCAGCTTCCCACTCTCCAGACCGAAATGCCACAGTGGGTGCATTTAGATTGCGGGCTGGCTTTATAAAACTGAAAGCAGAGAATGGTGTTTATCTTCTTCCTTAATCTTTTACTCATTCATTCAGCAATAACTACTGGTGCCTTAGCAAGGGCCACGCATCACCCTAGATGTTGGGGATACAAAGACGGAGCCTAGTGAGGAAGGCAGGCCCGTAAATAGTTGATTACAAGACAACCAGGCCAGCACTTGTAAAAAATGAACACAGCACACGGAAGCCCAAAGAAGATGTTAAACAGAGCCTGGAGGAGTCCAGCGGAGGCACAAGAGGGAAATGCCAAAACGATACAATTTTAGGAACAAGGTGGTTTTCACTAGAAGACTGGGGAATGGACCATATGAAGGCATGAGTCTGGAAAGAGCCAGCACAGCTGCAGAATGACAGTAAGTTCAAGGTGTCGGGAGTTCAGGACTGGTGACCAGGTGTGATGGGGTGTCTGGGGCAGACCGTAGGGGGGGCCTGGCTTTTCCAGAGGGCCGTGGGGCTCAGGAGACAGAGCAGCGGGGTGAGACGAGTCTTTGGGAAGATGGCCGGGGTGGACTGGAGAAGGAGGCAGCTGAGGGGCTGCCCAGCACAATGAGGAGAAGCTGGGAAGCAGGAGAAAGCTGGGACAGCAGGAGAAAGAAAAACACACACATGCATGTTATGTGGCCTGGCTGGACACCACCTGTGAGGGGCCGCCTGCTGGGGGCCGACAAGCTCTCCAGGCAGCCAGATACTGATGGGTGCAGTGGCACGGGATACAGTGTAGGACCCGTCCCTCCCATCTCTCTTCCCCCAAGAGCTTCCAACGGGCCTGGCACCAGGCTCGGCCGAAGGGAGAACAGTACATTCCCTGCTCCAGGCCCAGCCAAGCTCCACTCTGCAGACGGGACTCCGTACTCTAGTCCCCTCAACTCAACAAATTCAACCAACTTGGAAAGCTGGCACCAAAAGACATGATCAGTCGGCTCCTTTAATGTCTGCAGCGCTCACGTTGGCGTCACTCACATAAACTTTGCCTCTTGCACATGGGGAAAGTCTCAACTTTCCCCATATGCAAGACTCACCACCCAGAGAGCATAAACAGAGAACAAGGCTCGTTCGCTTTTCAGAGCATATGAACATCCTCTGTCTTTATCTATCTTTGGAACCACTTCTATGTCCGGGATTGAACAAGGGCTGCAGTAGCTGATTGACAACTGCAAAGCTACCTGAGTTCCACTGGAATCCTCCAGTCCTTTCTGACGATGGGCAGGTGGTGCAGAGAAAAACCACAGGCTTTGGGCCTCTTGAAACCTGGGTCCAAAGCTCAGCTTGGCCCCTCACTGCCCACCTGGCTTCACCTAAGCCATGTAAGCTCTGAGCCTCAGCTGCTTCTTTTGTATGAGAGTTTGCAGAGTTGCTGTGGAGTGAGAGATTCCTGAGTGATGGCAGAGCCTGGCCCTAGGAGCACCAGCGTGATGTGATGTATGCTGAAGCCATCACCTGGGGCAGATTTGAAGCTGGGGAGGCACTAGTTTGAAAAAAGAGTTTTGTAAATCAATTCTCCAAGTCGCCAACTCCGCCTTGTCTAAAATGGTGAACTGTTTTGAGTTATCAAGCCAGACCCGACTCCCAGAGAATAATTTATAAACTGGAAGAACCTGACTCCTCCCAACCCCCCCAGCCGCCTCCCCTCCTCCCACAAAAGAAAAATGAACAACTTAATTTTAGGGCCCCAAGGGAAAGAGACAAAGTGGTGCTGAGGGCCCTGGGTGGGTGTGAGAGCTCCAGGAACTAGCTCTTATCTGGAGTGAGATACGGGAAGGTGGAGGGAGATGGCTGGACAGAAGAAGATAAGCCCTGCCTGGGACTGTGCCCGCGCAGCCCGTGCCAGGCTCGGCCCTGCCTCCCTGCCGTCTAAAGGGTTTAGTCTCAACCTTTAAAACCGCTTTGCAATTGAAGTCAGAGACCTGAGAAATAACTCTGACACCCATGCGGAGTAGGTCTCCTCCCAGAAAAGCATCCAGATATTCGGAGTGTGGCAAACCTGGGTGTGAGTCTGGTCTCACGCACTCGCTAGCCGTGTGACCCTCGGCATTTTATCTAGTCTGTCTCAGCCTGTCTTCTCATCTGATCAGTGGGGATACCAATACTCGAGTCACAGGGGGGTAAGGAATGAATTCAATCACGTGGGTAATGTATTTAGCACCTAGTGACTCCATGATGACCAGCACTCATGACTATTTGTCAGATGGCTCAAACGTCATCAGACCAAAAGGAAGAGAAGAAGGAACATAATTATGACCGCTGGTACTAGCTTCCCAGGTCAAGCAATTATATATACTTTACAATTAGAGGCCATGGGCTTTCTATACAGAAGATCTGGTGTCAAATCCACTTCCTAACTGTGTAGCCTTGGACAACTCCGCTTCCAAGTTTTAAGTTCCTCATAAGAAAAGTGGGGAACCTCATACGAGGAAATTTGGGTAATGAACTGAAAACATCCATGGTACAAGGTAGTTCTGTGAGTGAACTAGAAAGGCTGATTTAGAAGGGTTCCCCTGAGTCTGAGTCCCAGCTTCCAGAAACTGGAGTGCAGTATTTTGCTGGATACCCCTCTCTTTCCTTAAAAGAAGAAGATCAAGGTTTAGTTAAATCAGAGGATCCTGGGTAATAGCTCTCGTTAGCCTTCCTTGCCAATCACCACCCAGCTGTTGCCTTTTTGGAGTTTGATATGAAATATAAATAAAACCAACTACTCAGAAATATGAAAGGTTTCTGCATTTTCCGGGAAGAAACAAGACGTGATGCTTTAGTTTCTAAGAATAGCCTTGAAACAATTTGGTCTTTGCCAACTGGAGTCCCTTATTTGTGGTTCTGCCTATGTGACTTTATGAGTCACAAAGCAATTCCCTGTCCCTGCCTCTGGCTGTTACAAATTAGAACCCAGGGCCTCAGATCCTAGCACTGGTAATGGGCTCTTAGCCCATGACAACTGGGAGACAAGTTCAAGGTTTATGCAGAGGCCCTGAGTAGCTCTCAAAATGAGAGATGAGCCTCCTTGGCCCAAGAGCTGCCAATGCACTCACATGTGGGGACTCCCACCCCCTGCCTTTCCTGGGCCTCATCACCTGCCAAATGGCATCAAAGAGTGTGACCAGGCAGTGGATAAAACGGAGTTCTATAAAAACTTAAGGAGGGCTGGGAGGGACACCGGGCAGAACCTTCCCTCAAAGCAGCATGAGGTAAGCACAGCCCTCAACCCTACCCTGAAGGCTCACAGACATGTTTCAAGGTAAATGCAATCTAAAAACCAAACCCTCTCCTCATTTCCACTGCCAAGCCCCCCATTCAAACTTACCATCTCCCAGGTTAACCTCCCCAAAGGGCCATGGGGCAGGGCCCAGTTTCCACGGCAGTGAAATGGGGGTCTTCACCCCTGTGCACCCGCAGGTGGTTGGAAAGACTAGAAGCCCCCGGCTCTGTGCCTCGCACTCGGAAGACCCTGGGTCATGGCTACTTGGATCTGACATCTGAGATGAGGCAGGAGGCAGCCAGGGCCAAGGCGGTGGGAAACGCCTCCCACGCTGCCTCTCTGCAGAGCCCAGCATGGGCAGAACACCTGGTTTACAGGTGGTGTCTGCAGGCATCACCCTCTCACCTGGCCCAGGGAGGCCTGGCTTTCCATCTACCAGGGCACGTGACACCAACTTGAACCTAAAGGGGCAACTCCCAGCGTTGGGAAGGGACCGAAAGGGCCACTTTGAATCTCCTTCCAGCCAGGGGTCCCAGCCTTCCCTCGGTCAACTCCCCGAGTGGAGCACGCACCACTTCCTGGGGCAGCCTGCCCCACCCTTGCCTCCTCTGGCTGGAAGAGAGCCTC